TGCCAGGGCCAGCACGGAGGACAAGTTACACGCAGGTTCAACCAACCTCTGAGATCTGTGATACACAGAGTTCACTGGAAGAAAATTGGTGACTAAAAATAGCGGGTCACAGTCATAGTCTGTCACTCCTCTGCTCAGAATTCTCCACTGGCTTCACATCAGAGTAAAAGGCAGCCTCCTGCCATGGCCTGCAAGGCCCCGCATGATCTGGCCCTTTGTTACCTCCCTGTCCTTGTAAGCTCTCCCTTTTTCTTTGCTCCATCCAGGGCCCTCTTCTACCCCAGGGCCTTTGCACTGCTGTTCCCCCCTGCCTGGAGGGCTGGTCCCTGGAAGTTCTCACAGCAAGTGCTCTTCCTGACTTCAAACCTCTGGCTCTGCTGTCTCCTCAGAAAGGACTTTCCGTTCTTTGCACATGAACAGTATCTCCCGCCACAGCTCCCCTTTCCCCTGCTTTATTTTTCTTCATACCCTTCCCCAACATCTGACATACCATGGATTTGTTTCCTGCTTCCTGTGCCCAGAACTGGGCCTGGCATATTTCTGCTTCATTACAAGGAGCTGGGGAGGAAACCCATAGCAGGGTAGCAGCTCTTCTGTGTAAGACTGTGCAGGTGCTTTAGATGTGCGGCTCCTTAACCTGCCCGACAAGCCCAATTCCCAAGTGGGGCTCAGAGAAGCAAAATCACTCATGAAGGCTAGACAGTGCTATGGATTGAATTGTGTCCCTAAAAGTTCCATGTATTGGAAACTTAATTCTCACTGTGGCAGTGTTAAGAGAGTGGGAAATCTATTATGGCAATTGAAAGGTGGGGCCTTTGGGAGGTGATTAGATTGTGAGGACCCTGCCCTAGTGAATGGGTTAATCCATTTATGGTTTAATGGTGGTCATGGGCATGGTTATGATGGCTTTAAAAGGAAAGAGTGTGAGAAGCTGTTTCTCTCTGCTCCTGCCATTCTTGCCATGTGACACCTGCATTGCTGTGAAGAGTCACCACCCACCAACAAGGCCCTCATCAGATGTGTTCCCTGAACTTTGGATTTCCCAGCCTCTGAAACTATAGAACTAGTTATATTTCTTTATAAATTACCCAGTTTCAAGTATTTCTTTTAAAAGAAACAGAAACGAACTAATACAGTCAGCTAACGTGGAGCTGGGACAAGACCCACGTCTGATGTTAGAGCTGGTGCACTCCTGCATACCACAGGGACTGTCATCTCCAAACACATTTGAGGGAAGGGCTCAGACCCCTCCTCCATGGGCAGTAGGGGATTGGCTCCCACTCCCCGAGCCAATGCTGTGAACGTTCTGACCACAGCCAACGTCCTTCTGCCGTATGGACCCTCTCAATGTCCCAGGCTCCTCCCGGGAGCCACCTTCTCTCTCCCTCTCTCTCACTGTGAGCACCTCCTTGTCCCTCATCCTGCAGAGCCCTTGGATGTCCTGAGCTACCTGGAAGCACACAGCAGACAGTGGTGATGCTTTCCTGTCTCTCTGAATCTCCTGTAACACTCAGCCCTGGCCTCTCTGCCGTATGGACCCTCTCAATGTCCCAGGCTCCTCCCGGGAGCCACCTCCTCTCTCCCTCTCTCTCACTGTGAGCACCTCCTTGTCCCTCATCCTGCAGAGCCCTTGGATGTCCTGAGCTACCTGGAAGCACCCAGCAGACAGTGGTGATGCTTTCCTGTCTCTCTGAATCTCCTGTAACACTCAGCCCTGGCCTACAGCAGACAGTGGTGATGCTTTCCTGTCTCTCTGAATCTCCTGTAACACTCAGCCCTGGCCTACAGCAGACAGTGGTGATGCTTTCCTGTCTCTCTGAATCTCCTGTAACACTCAGCCCTGGCCTTCTGCACACCTCACACATGTCAACTGAGTGAAGAAAAAGATGGAGCAAGAGTAGAAGGAAATCCTGACAGCTAAGAACTGTGAGTCCTACAGGGGAGGCAGAAGAAAGTCCCAGAACGGGTGTCAGCAGTGGGGTATGTTCCGCGCCTGGGAAGTCTCAACATTGCCTCTGCCTTTCTGTGTGACCCTGTGAAGCTGTTCGCTTCTTTGTGCCTTGGCTCTGCTGCTTGTCAAGTGGGGAGAGCATCCTGGGGCCCAAACCTGAGGCCGTTTCCCTGCTCTTCCACATCTCCACCGGGGCACCTGGGGCCAGAGAGTGAGAAATGAAATGAGGTTGGTGGTTTGGTGGGATAGGAAGTTGAAACCAATGGCTAAACTGAAGTATCTGTTTTCCTTGATTAGCTATACATTAAGATCTCTGCAATTTATGTTTCCCATTACTGGCTAATTCAGAGGCAGATGTCATTTCCGTTATTTAAAATTTTCAAAAAGAAGGTTGGCAAAATGGATCAATATGGAAGGCACTGGGGAGCAGATAGTGTTCTTTCTGACACAAGTTCCAGCACTGATGGGTTTGGAAAACAAACCGTGCCAATTCATGAGCGGACGGAGGCCAACTGAGCTTTCAGGGAAGTTGGGAGCCAGGGAGAACGGCAGGAGGCTCTGCCACCCCCACCCAGTAGTTGCTCTTAGAGGAGGGTTGGGGCAATCAGACAATTTCAGAGGAAAGAGTATTTCCATCCATTCATGTGAAAATCATATGCATGCAAAAATTAGCAGCCTTCAGGGTGTGAAATCCATAAAATAGAAACACAATTTTATATATAGCTAGTTAGCAAATATGAAAAAAAAACAAACCTCAGCAATTATAGCCATCCATATGCTCATTGTAAGATTTAGTTTACTCTCTAGCGCTCCCCTTTAAACAAACACTGTGGAGAGATTTGGATAAATAAAGATGCTCGACATTTGGAGAGAAATGTTTCAGCTGCAGGATTTCTTGCCAATACGCAGCAAAATGCCATTTTCCAAGCCTGGGATTGCGTGTTCCAAAAGGGGGGCTGAGAAGTGCAGGGCTCTCCGCTCCAGAATCTCCAGCCCTTCCCGGCTGCTCTTTTAGGGGAGAGCTGGTGTGCTCGCTCTTTCTCCCCCAGTTCCTCACTCCGGCGCTGGGGAGCCATGACCCCCACCACTCTCAGAGCGGCTTTGAAAAATTCCAAGTCTTAGAAGAAGCCCATATGTTCACACTGCAGAGTTTCCTAATAGTGTGACTTTTTAATTATGTATTTGATAAAAACAGATCCATGGCATCACACTGCACATATGAAGAGACCAGTTGGGCAGGCAGCAGCTCCCATCTCTGGTTAGAAACCCTCAGCTATGTGTGGCTTGGTGGGCAGAGCTTGCACCAAAGCCCCAGGGGGGCACTCGGGCAGCTCCTGCCTCACAGGCCCACGTTAACCAGCGGGCCAACTCTTGCCATAGCTCCCACTAAACCTGAGGGCTCACCTTATTAATCCTGGGCCCCCAGTGGTAACAGACCAGGCAGACATAGTGTGAGTCTTCAGTAAGGCAAAAAGGAAAGATGCCTCCCTAACTGAGCTGCCTGTGCTGTTGCCCAGAGTAGGCCTATTTCTTCAGCTCAGATGACACCTCTAGTACCAGAGATCCTTCTTTTCCTCACCATTCGACCATTCTAGTATTTAGTGAGGATCCCCTGTTCTGGGATTCCCAGGGCCTAGGCTGACTTGGGACTTTTTAATTGTGCCTTTTCAAAAGTCCTATATACAGAGTAGTCTAGAGCTCAGGCCCAGGGTCAAGAAGATCCCGGAAGGGAGCAGCTACCCGTCCCTGATGAGGTGCTGCTGCGGGGTCCACCTGAGGAGGCCACGTGGCTTGTACTCGGCAGAAACAGACTAATGCTGCTGGGTCTCACGTCTGTGGCACTTCGGGTGCAATTCTGCAGCTCTCTCTCTCCAAGGCACTGGGTAAGGGGCCAATTCTTTTTAGGACTTTAGAAAAAGAAATAAGCCAGGGCATTCTAGGAAAAACCTTTAGAATTCCACTTTGCCAGTGACAGCTGAGGATACTCTGTTGAATAACTAGAAAGGCTTTGAGTCTGGTTAAGTGACAAGTGCGGTTGCTGGAAGGAGAGAAAGCAGGGAGGACAGGCTGACCAGGAAGGGGACCTGGAGTGCTGTGGTGAGATGGGTTAGGAATAAGGGAGACCAGGGAAGGTGGAGACCAGGAAGAAAGGAGGAGGGTGGTAACAAAAGGAAAAGAACTCGTGTGGGCAGAGAAACGAGAGCCCATGTGGCAGGCAAGCTAGGACTGCAGAGATGGTCATGGCGGTGACAGATGGGTAGAATATAGTATATGATGATATTGTACCATCTTGCCCCAAGTTGACTCCCAGAGATAGGGGGACACGGGCCCAGCCGGGTTCCTGACTGTGACAGAGTTGATTCATTTATCAGCTCCCTATCCCCTGGGCTTATTAGACGACAGGGAGGAAATGTTTATCAACACCTTCAGTGGCTTCCTGTTCTGGTGACTGCCTCCGCATGGCAGCCCCTTCCACACCCAGTGCACCAATGGCACTCTTCCTCTCCCTACTCTTTCCAAAGGCAGTTCTCGGGAAGGAACATGAAACTCACTTACACTGAGGAGGAAATAAATGACAACAGACTAGAGCACTGTGCTCCTGGGTACGCAGCATTCTGACGGTGGAAGAATCCCAGTCATGAGCCGGTGCATAGGGAAGTTTGCTGTGGTGGACAGATAGGTCAACCATGATACACTGCCATGTAAGATGCCACCTTATTTATCTTACATCCGGTAGCAGGGGTAGTTTGTGTGTGGTTTTGTGCAAGGGAAGGGTGAGATTCCCAGAACACAGCCCTGTGAGTTGCCCAGCCTACCCTTCGGGTGGTTTTCCTTTGAAGCCTGCTCTGGGCCTCTCTGCCCTTTCCCATCAAGCCCCCCATGTAGCAAGGAACCTCTATGGCCTCCCAGCATTGTGCCAGAGCCACTTCAAAATCCTCTCTGCCTGGATCCCAAGGGCAACAGAGCCCAGTTCAGTAGGAACAGAGCTGCTTCCAAAATCAAGGATCACTGTCCGAGCAATGTCCAAATAAATTTTCCAGTTGGGAAAACACCCTGCCTCTGTGAGGAGCATGACCGTTCTTGCGGGGGCCACACTTGTTTTGAGCTCAAGTCACCTCCTGGTGAGTGTGTCAGACCTTGTTCCCCATGCTCTGGGAGGGCTGCTAAGTGTTTCTTACTCATTGCAGAGACCAGTGAGAGGCAACAGTCACTGGATGGCTCTCCTGGCTGGTCCTGGGAAACATCTAAAACTTGTCCGTGTGGAAATAAAGCAAAAAACCACCCAAGATGGCCTCCAAGAGGCCCGTGGTTTATGTAGATCTGGGAAAGAAGGAAGCACCATGCAAACCTGAGCAAGGAGGCTGAGCAACTGTCATGCAACTGGAGGCTGTTCTATCCCCAGTCTTCTCTATGTTCTCTGGAGGCATTTAAAGTCTTCCATCATCTTAATGGAATTATTTTAAGTTTACAGACTCAAAGCATCCTTAGAATGCTTTGTTGTCTTCAAATTTGCTTTAAATGGATGCTTTGAAGACAAGTGGCAGGAGGAAAACACCACACTGTACTGTAAAGTACTTTTCTGAGTATTTACTTTTGGGTTGGTCACGCATCTCTGTTCCACATTGCATTCACTATTACTCCTGTTTGTGTAAAGATGAAAGCCACTCTTTGCCTTCCTGATTTCTGCTGTCCTGATATGATGTTTTTAGTCTGGTCCTAACATCTGGCTGCAGCCCCTAGAAGTTTCTGTAGCTCACCAGGTTGTGCTGCTTTGTATGGACAGGCCCAAGAGACTCTGGCTCTAGGACGGGCCTTCGTCTGGACCTGGCTTGGAGGTTGGAGGTGCTGTCCCTGTGAAGGAGGCTGCCTCCTCGGGAAGAAGGAAAAGTTCTCACAGTGACCTGTGGTCTTGACAACCAGCATTTGATGGAGCCCTGGGCAAAGGCTGAGGAGAAGCAGGCCTGTGCCCTTGGCAGAGACTTGCCTGGGTCCTGGCTGTGCCCTGCCTCACCCTCACCGTCATGTCCCAGGAGGGGCCACCCAGCGTGGTGCTGATGTGCTGGGCAGGACACGGAGGGCTCCTGCTGAGCATTCACCAGTTGATTTGCAATCAGGAAATTTGGAGCAGCCTTCTTCCTGTGCTTTGGCCATTATTAGAAATGCTGTATTTCATTAAGGCCTTGCTGGAGGTGGGTCCATAATGCTTGGTGAGAGATTAATTTAAAAAAAAACCAAACTCCAGGGTTCCAGAGTTCTAGGTCCAGTATGCAAAGCATGTGATTTAGAGACTTGCAGGTAACTACTTTGCAGGAACATTGAAAACAAACTGTTATAAGTGGTTGCCTGGGACTGTGGGCTGCAAGAGGAACAGTCATGTTTCCCTACCAGCCCCTCTGTATTATTCGATTCTTTAACCATGGGAACAAGAGGCATCGAGTGAAGAGAGTGAAAATGACCTCAGGTTCACGGTTGCTCTGAGCTGAGCCAGCCTCTCGACACTGCTGTCAAACAGTGAAAGGGAAACAAAGGTGCGGGTCAAGGGTCTGAATCAACAGACTTAAAGTGCTCAGTGTGGCCCAGCTCTGGGAAAGTGGACTGTCTGGGCCTGGTTATCCCAACTAAGATGGAGAAAACTCAGGAAGCTAGGGCTCCTGGGAGGCCCAGGGACTGAGGTCAGGGCGAACTATTCATTCAAGGTGGAAGACCTCCTCGTGCCCAGAATGTCTGCAAATCTTGTCCAGGTTCTCTGTTTTATTGGGAATGGATTGAACATAATTTTTCACGAAAACAGGATGGGACTAAATGACCCAGGGAGAAGACCTTCACAACTCCCAAATATTATAGAATTTCTTCCCGGGAAGAAAAATAGCTACAAGTATCAAAACAGAGAAAAGAAGCTTTAAAACAAAAGTGAGCAAATAAGAAGAGCTTTGGAAGTCAAGAAGCGATTTGCACAGGCGTCTGGCCCTGTGGTTGTTGCTTCCTCTCCTGACATGCCTTCCCCCATGGTGGGTCCTTTCTCTCTGCACCCTCCTGCTCCTGGCCTCCCCTTCACTCCTCCAGCACACTCCTGTCTGACCTGGCTCAACATTGGATCCCTGCTCAGAGTAGCCAGTCTGAGCTCCTCAGCTTCGGATTCAAAGTCCCCACCGTGGGCCGTACTCCTTACAGCTCCCCTGGTCTAGTCTCTGCCACTTCAGCCAGACCCTTCGGCCCATCCATGGCTTCTGGGACATGCCATGGCACGCTATACCTTTGCAGTCTTGCTCCCTGGGGTCCTTCGGCCTGTAACTCTGCCCTCCCTTTTCCACCCCTCGCCTTCTGTCCCCTGAAGTCGAGTGCCAATGACAAGAAACTCCCTTGCCCATCCCAGGCCACAGTGACACTCCTCTTCCTTGAACTCCTAGAGGACTTACTCTACAGACTGTTTCTGCTGCCTAGGCTGGGTATTTTCCTAGAGGTACAAAACCATCTCTGGCTTGCCCACCTGGGGAGGCGGACGTCTAGACAGGTTCAGTTATTGCCTGTGTGGCTTCGTACTGCTCTTGGAGTCTAAGAGGTCATTGCCTGCACAGACAGGGGTCAAGATTTGTTGGCTCTAATTCCAGCTACTCTGTTTTAGGAGGCACAGTGAAAGGTGAAATTGACTTGAAGTGTGCCAAGTTGCTCTGTAACCAAGTAAAGCTGTCATGTTGCAAGGCAATCCCAAGCCAGGGGGAGGGTCTCTCAGTGTCCACACAGTCAATTTTCTCTTTCTCTGTCTCCCTCTCATTTTCTCTGCACACACACACTCCACATGGAGCCCTTCCCATCCCCGCCCTCCCCCCCATCCCTCTGGTGATATCTCTGGTTTAATCAGTCTAGAAATATGACTAGTATCAAAAATATCCCCGTCAGATTGCAACCGACTCTGGGGCTCCATGCTCTGGCTCCCAGCCAAGCAGCCGCTATTCATGCTGGCAAGGCACAGTTTAAAAAAGGAAAGGCTTCTATAAGCTCGAAAGAATGCGTGGTGACAGTCGAGGCTAAGCACTTTCCGGCTGGGTTCACCAGGGCATCTATTTTGGCCTCCTGGCCTCGCCTCCGTGGCAAGGGGAGAAGTAAGTGAGAGATCAGAAACCCCTACCTGGCTGCTGGAACATCAGCATGTTCTGCGGAGAAGTGTGCACGGGCAGCGAGCGGGTCCTTTGCACTGAGCTGTGGGTGCGGCTTGGCATGCTGTTACTGCCCCCGGGGTTGGCAAACCAGAGGTTCTGGTGAGAGACGCAAAAGGCGAGCCTGTTAGTCCACATACCCTGGGGTGGGGGTGGGGAGCAGAGCCACCAGCCGGAATTCAGGAGGCAAATATTCCGGGGAACTCTGCTAACTTCTGGCTTGCAGGCCAGTGCTACCTATATACATACCTAAAGAGAGTGGGGCCAGATACTGTTTATTTTTCCCACCCTCTCCTCAGCCCCAGCCTTGCTCTAAGCCTGAGGTTAATCTGGACACCCCTCTCCTCGACTGTTTCCAAAATTCTATATTCCATTTGTAGCTTTTGCTTTTCCTGTCACTCTTCTAGGAAATGGGGGAGTTCTATAAATGCTTGTAATGAAGAATACAAACTAGTTCAGGGCTCTTATTTGATTTTCTTCTTGAGATTCTTACAATTTACTCCAGAGTGAGGGGAGAGAAAATAGCCTCTTAGTGGGCAATGAGCTGGCACAACTGAGCTCATGTGTCCTAAGCAGTGACTTCCTCTCGAACTGATCTGGGGTTGGGGACAGTGGTCAGAAAGTGGGGCTTTCTGATATTCTGTGCTCCTTCCCCTGGGAAGTGAATCCTGCCTGGCTGGCTTGGGCGTTCTTCCTGTTTTTAAGCCAATCTGTCATCCTTTAGTTTCTCATGAGAACACAGAACCTCAGACTCACTTGTGTTCCTCCAATCCCAGCCCCAACCTGCAGAATCTCACAAGGCTGGGGCACACGGGTGGGAGGCACTGGGAAGGTGGGTACAGGGCTAGAGTGTGAGGAGCCCTGACAGAGAGGTCAGCTCTGAATTGCACAGAAGGAACCTCTGGACAGCCTGGCCTTGACTCCCCTGCTGACAGCCTCTCTCAGACTTGTCCTGTGGCTTCACCACCACAGCTGGGACCATGACAAAGGAGCTATCTGCCATGGATAAAAAAGCAAAGAAAGCTCCTTAAATGCTAGGCTTGTCTGGAACCCAGATCTGGGATGTGGTGAGGTCTTTCTAAAGGCCCTCCTATGCAGAGTACCCAAGGTTAATGTAAGCATCATAAGCACAGCCCTGGAGCTGCTTTGTCTTCCAGAAAAACAATGCAATCAACACTGGTTACCTCTGAGGCACGGGGACAACTGTCCCTCAGTTTGGCTCCCTCGGGCTTCTCTCCCCACCTTGGGATCATCCAGGGGAGGTCCTGAAGCCTCAGCCCTCATCCCTGGGGCAGAGCTAACCTGTCTTCCTTGTTTCATGATGGTGGGGTTGGCTGCAGTGCTGCGCTGGTTGGAGCTGACAAATCCACTGGTGCCCAAGAGGCCCAGGCGGGCGGAAGGGACGTTCCGAGAGGGGATCTGGTACTGGCGCGGGTTCCGTCTGCCCATGCCACCGCCCACTGAGCCTGCCGTTGGGAGGGAGTTGGACTGGCCAAAGCCACGACTGTGAGGGCGAAGACAAAGAACCAAGAGACCATCAGTCATTCCTCAGCCCTTTCCCGACCCCAGGCTGCCTGTGGGATGCCTTCTTGGGGCCTGTTCACATTTTGATAGTTATGAAGCCTACGAGAAGCTCTATGCCAGCGAGGGACTATGATTAAAACGGCAACTAACATCAGAGAGTGTGTATCACATGCACTGCCCTGGGACCTTTACGTTATTCTTCAATCCTAAAGAACCCTATAAGTAGGTATTTTCTCCCTTTACAGCTGGAGAAGTAGAACAGAGAGCTCAATAATTTTGCAAAGGCCACACAGCCAGCAGGGGGCAGCACTGCAACGTGAGCCCAGAAGGTTAACCAGCACGCTCTTCTGCCTTCTACGCTGCATCCGACCCGGGGTGCTGCAGACGAGGACCGGGTCTTGAGCACTCATGTGCCTTTCAAGAGGCCACACAGCAAGAAAGTGGCAGAAGATTTGAACTGGGTCTGGCTCCTGTCCCAGAGCTCCTCCTGTCATATCATAGTCTGTTTCTGATCAGTCTGTGTGTGTGACAGACTTGGAGAGCGCGGCCTGTGAGCCCCAGTAGGACGTAAGCTCCATGACAAGGACAGTATCTGTCGTCAATCCTGTATGTCCCATGCCTGAATCAGCTCCTGGCACAGTGAATGCAGGTGAATGGAATGAATGAATGAATGACTCAGTCTCTGCCATATGATGCTTCTCCAAATGGGATGGCTGACCCCATCTGTGAGGCTTGGACTCCCAGGGTGACAGTAGGGGTCTGAGAAGGGAGATGATGATGTTTGCAAGTGCTCTGGACCTAGGACACGGCTGCTTCCGGCTCCACAGGCCCTCCGTGCCCAGCAGGCCACACCAGCGCTGGAGAGGCTCCATGCTTCTCTTAGGTCCATGCAGGGAGGCGTCTGGGGACCAGCGCCCCTGCTGAGTCGGGTGACCTCAGCGCAGAAGAACTCTCCAATGTGCCTCAGGTTCTGGGAGGTTACGCAGCCGCCAGCAGGGTTTCAGGAACCAGCACATTCTTTCCAAGAAGAGTCAGCTTTAGTCATTCACTGATGTTTAAGTCAAAATGCTTTACCTCCAATGGCCACAAGATGGAACAGACTTGCTTTTCCAGCCACACAGGGAGGTTTGTACCAAGCCTGTGAGGAGACTCCGGGAAACAGGGCTGACGTAGCTTAACCAGTGGAGGACGATAGGGGCCTGCCAAACAGTCACTTCCTGAGAAAAGGAGAGAGTTGTGCATGTGTGCGGGGGAGGGGGTGTCTGAGCCAGCGGTGTGGTAGATCTCAGAAAACGTTTCTCTTCTCCCCAGAATTCCTAAATTTCCTAGAGTGAGGGGGGCATGGAAAAGAATTCTGGGCTTTCTACTTCTAGGCTTTTTAGGCCAAGGAAAGAGTTCTCGATTCTTGTCAGAGGGTCACTTAAATGTGGTAAGGAGGACACTAATGGGTTCTTGGTCTGTTTATCTCATCCTTTCTCCCCCCTTTTTTTCCTTTTCCTTCTTTTTACTAAAGTCTAAGATTTTGGGATTGAAAGAAGGATCTAGGGTCAGGAGGGGCAGAAGTAATTTCATGTGATCCAAGAGACACCCTTTGGAGAAGGGCAATCTGAGATACGTCACAGGTGGAGAGACAAGGACCAAGTGGTGTTTGTTTTCCAACTATGAAAACTAGTCTTTTGGTGTCTGGAGTTGAAATTTTGGCCACCTGGTAGATTGATTCAATATTCTGCTAAGATTTTTCCTTATTTAGTGCTGATAGCTTTTTTTCACTTTTCTTTTTGGTTGGATTTTTAAAAAGTTATTTCATATGCAAAATAGAGCAGTCAATAAGTGATGCTAAAATGATTTGTGCTTCCAGGAAGGCAAGATGGTATTCTTAAGCAATTTAATGTGGGCAGAGGATTCTGTTCTGGGACACTTTAGTCACTGGAGAAATGAGGGATCTAGGGACTCCTGGAGTTAGGAGTCAGCTGTATGGGGGAGGGGCGTAGAGCCCAGAGCATTGTGGGGGTAGGATGTGATGGGGGAGGGGGGAGTTTGGCTAGGCTATTTCCCTTGGTGGTGGGCCCCTGCCAGATGTGCTGAGGGCTGCCACTGCTGGCCGCTGGAGTGAACACTGAGGTTACGTAAGATTGCTAGGCTTAATGAAATCATCACACTTTCTGGGGAGAGAACAAAGTGACAAGAGTAAGTCTCCCTCTCTCTCTTGCTCTGCTCATCTGTGTCACTCCTCTGCCTTTTTAAATCTAATTGATTTAATTACATCGAAATGCATGAAAAATCTTTGATGAAATAACATTAATAAGAACCCATTAGTTTGGGATTTGTGATAATTCAAGCAGGGGCCTGGCTGCAGTTACCTTCGTATTATTGGAGAAACAGGTCTTCAAAGCAAATTAATAGCATAAAAAGATCTCAGGAAATACTTATGAGAACAAAATATTTTCTAGCATTTTGGCAACATCCACTTGAACCTCCACAATCGGCGATTGAATTCATTCTTATCTAATCAATAAAAAGAAGTCCATCGGGGCTCCAGCCCGGCAAACCTTGGGGTAGCCCAATCCAAGGGTTAATTAATAACACTCTGGAGATGTCGAGGTTAATGCCGCCTGCTCTGCCCTGAGCAGGGCTCTTGGACGTGGACCAAGGACAAAACAGGCTGACAGGGGCAGGGGATGGGACTTTTGGGAGGAGGAGCAAAGAGTGCTCTGTCTTCATCTTCAACATGTGAATGTCTCTTCCTCTTAGAACTTGTCTCCCAAGGGCCTGGTGCTGCAAGAGGGGTCTGGAGCCTCTTCCCCTTACTTGGGAGAGGTATTGCTGCCCTTAAAAGAAGGGAGAGTGCCTGGGATGGTGGCAGGCGCCACAGCAGGAGGCCAAGAAGTAGGCCTTGACTTTCATCATCTGGGCCAACCCACCAGGGCTGGCAACACCAGAGCGCTTGGGGCCAGGGAGCTGGCGATGATGAGTGTTGCTTTGCTTGAGCCGTCTTTTCCGCACACCAGCCTGAGACAGTGAGAGTCGCCTGGCTGCCGTAGTGGTTGAGCACGGAGCTGGTGCTGGCCTGCCTGGTCCAAACCCTGAATGCCACTGCCTACCACCTCATCTGCAAGCTGGGGTTAATAATAGCAGCTCTACCTCAGAAGGTTGTTGCAAGGATTACATGTATTAATATTTTTAAAGTGCTTGGATACCACTAGGCCCATAGTAAGTGCTAAATAAATGTTTGTTTAATAAATAACATACATATGCTGGAATGTGATAGCACTTCAATTTTTAAATTAATCTTTCATAAAGACTCTTCGAAAACTCCAACTGGCCTTTTATCTCCGTTAAGTAATACAAAGCAGTGATGTTTTAAGGCACACTTACGCAAATAAATGCCAAAAATTTTAACGACAGGCAGAGCTTATACATACGCGTGGAGAAATGAAATGAATTCAGAACCTTTTAGGTGCAAGCGAAGAAATTATTATTTAGAGGGCTCCTGTTTTAAAATGTAAAATAGAATGTTGACTTTTCAGAATGTTTGCATTATCTTTCCCTTATTTCATTGTTCCAGGCGTAGCACAACCCTTCCCCCAGCCTTTACTTTCTCCTGCAAATTTTCACGGCAATTCACCTTTAATATGCAATTGGATTCCTCAATTTAAAATCATATTAAGGTAATGGGTTCTAAAGTACAACCAGGCTTATTTTTAACTGTATCCAAGAAGCTGAAGTACTATGAAAAATCAAGAATGGTACTGCTTCCCTATTAGACTGCAGCTCAGACCAAAATAGACTAGCACTGGGCTCTTCAGCCTGCCACCAACTATAATTAGCTTGTCTGCAGCTAGAAAGGAGAAAAAAATTACACTACCACTTAAGGTGCTGATAGAACAACCCATTTTTGTCTTTTCAGAGTGCCCCTTTGCAGGTAAACCACCAAGCGTTTTGCTGGCATTCGTTAAACCACACCCGCTCTCTCCTCTGGATGCTTATCCGGACGAATACCATTATTTTGACAATATAAATTGAGTTACAAAAGCTCATTCAGCTCTTCCTCTGGGAACGCTCTCTAACAGCCTTTTCCCAACCCCACCTGTTTAAAGAATGTGATTTGGAACTTGCCATAGGGCATCCTCGGGAACGAGGAATGGTGCCCTGCCATCTTCCTGCCCCAGGAACTGAGGCAGGCAGCAAGGCACCAGGGAACCACCGTGCATTACAAAGAATGAAATCCCAACATACTTTCTTTGCTGTCGATATCCTGATATGTCTAGAAGGGTTTTCCGAGGGAAAGACCGAAAGAGCTTCTGCACCTGCTGTTTCCATGACAACAATCTTTTTTTCTGTGTCTCTGTAAATGCCTGCAAAAACAAACAGGACTTTTAAATGGGTGACGCAGCCTGGCATTAGAGGGAGAAACATGCAATTAATGGGGGAAAACATCAGAGTCGCTGCAGTTGCTTTTTCTTCACCTGTTTCCAACCTGGTCCAAACAGCAGCCAATTTAATTTGAGAGCCGCCTGTACTGAAAATTCAAGTGATTTGACATTGGAGGTGCCTGGTAAGGTACATGCCTTAAGCTTTTGACAACCCTTGGTTTTGGTTGCATTTCTGGCAGATCCACACCCACCCCCCCCCTCCTCCTGACTTCACTCTGGACTCTATTTATCAACCAAGAATGAATTGTGAAATTGATGGTTGAACACTATGGCTTTTGCAGGCCCCCTGCATATTCATAATCAATGGAAATTTTAAACCACTCCAAAAATCAATCTGCATGATGGTGTGTGGTCACCCTCAAGTGGCCTGCAGGGCTTTAGGGAATAGAGAATATTCTCTGTATTTCAGGGCTTTACTGAGAAATTTCCAGTTAAGGCGTCCCATGCCCTACAAAAACCCCAGTGCACCAGTCCTGACCTAGAGCTTGTCTAAAGTTCAGGAAAATGAGTAGATCTGATGCCTTCTCAAGTCTTTTCTAGTAAAATTGGTGTGTGGAGATGTTTTGCCTACTGCAGTGTAGGTAATGTGCTCTCATCTATATCATGTGTCCTTTTGCCCACAGCCTTTGTACTCACAACAGCTTTGGGAAGGACTTTACATGGGTTATGAGTCCCCAAGACAGGAACTCTCAAATTCATGATATATTAGAATCACCCAAGGAGACCGATGCAGATTTTGGGCCCCCTCCCACACTCCTGGAGACAGCTTTAATACGTCTGGAGGGATGTCTAGGGAGTTTGTGTTTGTAGCAAATGCCCTGGTGATTCTGCTGTAGGTACAGTGTGGACATGTGGTGTTCTAGGTGGTGAGGACCCTATGTAATACATGAATCCCCTGTCAAGTGCCTAAAACTGCAGCCTAGAAGACATGCTGTGGGAAATCCATCAGATTTGATTGATTGCAGTAACAATGATAACTTCTCAGGTAGTTTTGTCAATAAGGCATGAAATCCTTTAAGCAGTAATAAAATATTGTTAGAGTAAGACTAAATGACTAATTCCCATAAAGGAAACAGCTTTCTTAAATGGAGAAAAAAATAACGGCTTAATTTTCTCCCGATGATGCTTAATCTTTAAGGACCTACACACAGGAGAGCTCTGTGGACAAAAGCAAAAAGATGTTAATCATACTGAGGAAACGTTATCGACAACTTGCAACCCCCTTCGTCCTGAGTGACCTTAGCTAGATGCCATTAAGGATATTCATCAAGGGGGCCACCCAACTAAAGGATGCAGTGCCCCGTTAGAGACAGAGGTGCAGAGCCCCTGCAGGTGTGTGGCGGGTGCTCTATGGCTAAAATGTGAAGACGTAGTTCTCCTCCATGGTCCCTCTCATTTGTTGGTGATGCTCGAGGGGTGTCCAGCTATACATGAATACCTTTGAAAACTGGGCAAAAGGCAAGCATTTCTGCTGGACTGATAAGAAAGGAAGGGGATAGATTTTGCTTTTGATAGGCTTGCTCAGCCAAATGTTGAGTGAGGACACAAGACTCAGGCTTGCTGGTCAAGATGACCTGGGGAGGAGAGTCCAGCGCAGTGGGTCAGAGGAAGGCTCTGGTTGCAGAGGGGCAGGGCTGCAATCCCTGCACACCCTCACGCAGATTTCTCTACCCCAGACTCAGTTCCTTCTAGAAACTGAAATGGAGGAATAAAACCTCCCTCAAAGGGACGTCGTAAGAATGAAATGAAATAAAACACAAGGAGCACTTAGTAACGGTTCCATATGTACGGCTCACAGATGTGCTAACCAGGATTTTTCTGTTGCACAGACCAGCCCTTCAGAGGTGGTATATGAGTGTTCATCACATTTGGTATTTAACAATGACCTTTAGCCCCAGGAACAGCACAAATCAAAGGACTTCAAGGTCTCAAAACTATAATACTAAGCTGGTTGGAGCCAGTCCGAAGGACAACTGGCCTGCGTTTCCAAGTGACAGAGGAGTAAATGGCCTACTTTATAGATGTGTTCCCAAGGACGTCATTATATACGTGTCATCTCCCATGGTGGCAGACAGCATCCAAGGAGATGGAGATGTTTACACCTCCACAGAGAAACAGCTGGGGCAGCAGGCTCACTTAATTCGGGGCTGCAGGTAGGAGCAAGCCCCTGGGGGGGGCTGAGTGAGTGTGGTGCTGGTTCTGCTCAGCTGGGAGCCACAGGATGAGCTAGAGCTCGGTCAGGGCTGGCCCCAGCTCCTGTGTGTGCAGCGTGCTGCTCCATTACGAGGGACGCACTACTGGCTATGGTGCCTGATATCGCGTCACAGCCCCCTCCGCTGGCAACCCCAGGGTGGGCTGGGAAGCAGCTTCCTTAGGGACTGGAGGGGAAGGGAAGATGCCACAATTACAGACTACCCAGACACCGCCGCCAGTCAGCCACTTCAGAGTCCTCTGTCCCTGTCAGGCCCAGACCAATAAGTCTGTCTGGAGGAAGATAGGACATGTGTCCTACAGTTTATGTGGCTGGATTAAAAGGCTCATAAAGAGGCATGAGCCCATCTTCTCAGAACCACCCCAGGACAGCGAGGAGACGGGAGGTCTGGGATTATAATCCAGGAATCGAAATGAATGGTCTAGAAGTAAAATTCAGAACTTTCCTGCCCTTCCTTATACTACTCTAGGGAGTCGGTCCCTTCATCCTCGGGGAGGAAGGGAGGTGTCCCAGCTTAGTCAACACCTTCCCCACTTCCAGCCAGCTGGGAACGGCATGTTCGGGCTGTGAAAGGGAGTCCTGTCTCACGGAGCCCAGCCAAGCCTCCTCCAGGACGGAGACCGCACCTCAATGGGGCCTCATGGGGAGCGTGTGCTCTGCCCACATAGACTAACCTGAGGCTATGGAAAAATATCCAGATGCTTCTCTTTCTCAAACTAAAATAATAATAAAAAGCCTTGCACAACATTTTCCCTTCCAAAGCAGAGAGCAGGCCCTTCCATCCTGACATGCATTCAGGCAGGTAGACATGTCACGCGCTCCTTCCTGCCCATAACTCCTGTCAGCGAGGGCCCCCTCTATGGCAATCAGCAGGAGATGAGGCCACACGGCACCATCCTGGAACTGAATCACCCAGGGCTGCCAGGGAGGTAAAGGGGGAAGAAACAAAAACAGGTGTCAGGGTACCAGGGAGGGCATGCAGGATGGCAGGAAAGGGAGAAGCGACCAATTAGGAAGCCTGTGCATTGTTCAACAGAGGCAGCTGGAAGACTCATTATTTTTGTCTCACGGGCTCAGCTGACTTGATGTGAGGTGTGGAAGGTATCTTGTCCTCAAGTATCTTGAAGGCTTAATGCTGAGAGTGGGTGTGGGAGAGGAAGCAGAAGCTTAAAGCTTCCCCTGATCCGCTGGCCGCAACCCACCCACAAATGTCCTCCTCCCCCAGGAAACACAGAGCCCTCCAGACACTGCTTGCTCTGCCTGAGTGCTCTTTGCTTTGCTTCCTCCACAGCCGAGTCCGCGACACCAAGACTCCAGCTTGCCTTGCAGGTCTCAGCTTGGAGACGCTTCCTCTGAGGAAATGCCCCATTTCCAGCTCTGGGCTAGATGCCCACCACTCCTCTGTGCTCTGGGGCACCTGGGATGCCCTTATCAGAGGCTTTATCATCATGTGTGTGATGGCCTATTTTCTTTTTGTCTCACCCACTACCCTCACACCATAAGCTACCTATGTAGAGACAGGGCCGAGAGGTTCAACGGACATTATGGAATAAATGAGTTGTAACATTCTTTCAAGGTGTGCTTGCCAAAGCAAGTCCAGTGTCAGGACTGGAAATAGAAAAGGATTAGTTAGGGCTTGTGGGGAGGAGGACTTGTCCCTTTCTGGAACAAATATACAAATAAGCCCGTCAGGATAGGCTTCGGTCATCATCAGACAGCACCTGGTTGCACTGGGGAAAGCATTAAAGAGAAAAATTTATAGCTTTTTTTTTTACAGTGAAAAATCCAGTACTTTGGAACAGTTAAATATTTCAGAGGATGGCGTGTCTGAGCTCCCAACCTAGGCAGCCGATCTCTGTGGTCACACCATGACAGAGAGCCTTGGCTGGAGCAACTGGGGCACACAAGAATTCACAATGCCGAGAGAAGAAACCATAAAGTGAGGGTTTGGGGGAGTGGGGAAGGAGTAGCTGGGGTGGAATCCCAGAGAGAGACTATACACCTGTCTGCAAGTGGTGGATAGTGACCGACCACAGAAATGGAGGAGGGACCCGAGAACTGAATGAGACTTTCCACAGCCCAGTGCCCGTGTGGTGGCTGGGAGAAGGGGACAGGTGAAGGGGCCAGACCACAGTCAGGGCATCTCTCTTCACTGGGGCCACTGGACTCCCGGTGTTCCTTCTGGCTGCCAACACAGCAAAGGTGATGAGGTTTGGGGGCCTTTTTTTCTCAAAAGACCTCACCACCCTAGGCTTATCTGGTCCCAAATTTCCTCTAGCCTAGACCTTGTCTCTGGAACTCTTTGGGAGCCACTGGTGACCTGGATCTGAGGCACAGCACCCTCTCCTGCATGTCCCTCAGGTGCAGCACCAGCTGACCTTAGTCCTTCAGAAGGATATATGGCAGATACAATTTCTATAAAAATTGCAAATCAAAACACAGCAGAACAGCCATCAGTCCCCACACATTCTTTTGCACGCTTGCTCTCTCCCATCAGTTTCCCTGAAGTACAAGGCAAACCATTTCAACACAAAATTTTAAAAAGACTTGGGAATGCCCAGGGCTAGGAGGCAGGGCTCTGTGTTAACCACCCTAGGCCTGGTCATCCAGGGATTCATCTGGAGTCAAAAGTTCTCCCAGGCACTTGCCCTCACATCAGAGCTCCCAGTCTGGGTGAACCTTTGCACACCAAAGTAATATACAAGCTGTGTTTAGGTTTGAAGCTGCCATAGCCTCGTTCTGCCCAAGCTATTATTAATGACCATGCACCCCTCCAAAACAAGTTGTTGGAAACCAAAATGATCACATCACAGAAACTCTGAGAACCATTTCTAAGCAATGAGAAAAACAGTTTTATAAAACTTGTCACTACTCACCTCATGAATTAGACACTTGTCTATGAGCTGTAAATAGGAACTTATATTTTCCTCATCAGGTCTGGAGACCAAGAGCTGTGTGCACACTAAATTGAAAAAAACAAGATGTGTTAGAAAAATGCACGCCCATTCTAACCTCTGAGATCTGCCTCTGACTCCCTTTCGGGACCAGTATTTTGAGAGGTATGTGTGCCTGTGGCTTTACGTAAGGTTCACAAAAATGGCCAGGAGGCTCCTCATTCCACTGAAGTCAAAGGCTTGGTCACCACGGGAGCCCTGCCTGAGAAGCCCCTTGGGTTCATTCCAGTCATACCATTCTATATGAAGCCTTCTGCAATCACGCCGACAGAGACACTTGTGAGAGGACGAGCAGCAGCGTCCAATCCCTGTCTTTGAAAGTGGCTCTGTGTGAGGGGTTTCAAAAGCATCAAAGGCCCCGCCACCATCAGAGAGCAGCCTCCCTAGTTTTATGAATGAATCGCGCACCTCTTGCCAGGTGGAGAGGCATTGGCGCTTGTGTTTGGAGGAATGAGGCTGGCATCTCGTAGGCTGTGGGTGTGTGGGTGTGCACAGGAGCAGGAAACTCGCTACTCAATCACTGCAGGGTTATTTTCTCAAAGTGCTGTGCACATTTATACACACACAGGTTCACCTACACATGAAGTCAGTGCTAACGTAGACAGCAGAGTCGGTCTGCGCGGAGTGTGCACACGCACTGGATTCTCACACCTGCTCTCATAGGGAAGGCCACCATGCTCCCACTTTGGTGGTGCTGGTTACAAGGCCATGGTGGAAAAGGAGGGACAGAAGAAGTCAATCAGAGAGTGGCAACATCTTGCACTCATGTAGATCAGGCTTGAAACCTGGACGTCATGCACAATTACTTCCTCTCCCAGCCCTGCGTGAAAGCCTGTCTCAGAATCTCACTTATCGCATGTCTTGGCATGTAGATTTTCTGTATGGCATTGTTTTTGATAACAGAAACTTGAAAACCACCTCAGTACCCATTAATTGGGGCATACAGTGGAATAGTATGCAACTGTCAACACAGAATAAGATGGTGCTCTTTGTATGGATAGAAAATTCGAACGTGTAATATAAAAAACACCGATCTGCAGAAAAGAATGTAAGTAAGACCTATGGATGCATAAAAATGGATAGTCATGTGCTTGCATATGATGATAAAGTTTCTGAGGGGATATCCCAAAACTTAATAGTGACCATTCCTAGGGAGGAAGATAGCAGGGTTTTGGAGGGAAGGGTTGTTCTTCACTCTCCACCATTGTATTTAATTTGAATTGTGTATGTTGACCACGAATTAGGTTAATAATTTCTTTTTTTTTTTTTCCTTTTTGTCTTTTTTCATGACCGGTAACGTGATCGCAACCCTCAGTGTTGCACCCGCACCGCGCTCAACCAGTGAGCGGACTGGTCTCTACATGGGATCCGAACCCTCGGCGGGAGCGCCGCCACGCTCCCAAGCACCGCACTCTACCGAGTGCGCCACCGGGCCGGCCCAATAATTTCTTTTAAAGTAGTGAAAATTTAAGCAGAAGCAGTGCCAGAGGAGTATGGGTCTCCTGCGGGCCAAGCCCACTGCGGATCTCCTCATAGGAAGCAGGCGTGGACCACGTGCTCAGGCAGCTGTCCCCTGAAAGGCTGGGCAGGGCTGTGTCTTCACTGGTGGGGAAATCTGTCCTGATCCAGCACAGCTAAGGGGTGGGGGTGGGGGGCGGGAGAGCAAAGGCCCACCCCAGCCATCAAGCTCCCAGGGAAGCTATGAGTCACCTCCTGCTGAACCAGATTTCTATGAATTCAAGTCTTTCTTAGGACATGCATCATGGGGGTGAGGAGGATATCACTGCAACTAACTATAAGGCTCAGGTATCCATTTCTTTTGGTACAAAGCTGGATCTTTAAAATGGTCTAAAATTAAAGGAGAAAAAGATTGCTTCCCCCTCCCAAAGGGAAAGTGCTGGCATTTACCACATTTTAAAAAAATAATCAAGATTTCTTGGAAATGTGCCATGAAGCACAAATTAGTCTAATACTGGACATTTTCAAGGATAAGGACATAAGGGTCTGAGTTGCAGGGAAAGCAGAGGGTAGTCCGGGTAGAAAGGGTGCTCTGACTTAGAGGACCATGCTGCGAGTCAAACCCTGACGCACAGATGTACAGGCAGTGCTGCCCTTGCACTTGGAGAGTCCGTGGTAAAGGCTAACTTTAGTTACTGGTGTCATCCCTCAATTTGTGTGCCAAATACTGAGCACGCACCTACCATAAGCCAGGCACTGTGCTACACGTGAGGTATTTTACGGCTATTAAAAGTGGCCTGACAGTGCTGCAGATTAAAAGGGCTACAGCGAAACAGACAGACAATTGCAATCTAGTGTGAACTGGGCTAAGACAAGGAAAGGGAAGGGCTGTGGGGCACGTGGGAGGGGTGCTCACCCTGCCCGGGGGATCAGCAGCCTTCCTGGAGCACGTGAGGACTCAGATGGGACTTAGAGAATGAGGGGGCATGACATGGGTAAAGAGAATGGGGTGAGGGGAAGCGTGTTCTGGGCAAGGCTGTCACATGCAGATTTGCAGGCTGTGTACTGCATAAGTGCACTCCAAGGGGAGTGCTTCCCCAGACAGCATGGCATTTTGGAAAGCACATTAAGGCTTCATATGGACTAGCTGGGGCCCAGGTTCTAGGCAGAGGGAAAGTATGCACAAAGGCTCAGAAGCAAGAGAATAAGCAAACTTTTGAGCGCTCAAAGATATGACGTCTGGAGTGTACAATGAATGTGGAGAGAGTAGTGGAGGTAGCAAGGAGGGGCCAGATAGCAAGTGACTCCTTAGGTTCGGGTTTTTATCTCCTATGAGCAAAGGAGAGCAATCCCATGGAACTGAACTTTGCTCTCTCTTGAGCTTATAAGAAGGCAGGTGGTAACCGTGCGGATGGTGGAGAGACTGCAGGGTTCGAATCCTCGCCCTGCCATCAGCTGTGTAAGCTTAAGGGGCTACTTAGCTTCTGTGCCTGAGTCTCCTCCTCTGTGAAATGGGGTGATGTGGGGATTAAGCAAGCTGCATAGGTGAAGCACAGAGAACTGTGCCAGGCACATAGTCCTAGCTAAATAAACACAAGCCATCAGTATTAGAGCATTTCGTATGGTGGGCCAACCCTGAATAGAGTTTAAATGCAGACACTAGAGAAGGTGAACAAAACAGCTCCATGCTGAGAATTCTCTAGGACAGGGAGACCCTTGGGCTCTGGGCTACAGGCATCAATGCCTGTTCAGCTTTTCACTCATTTGCTGTCACTTTTGTTTGGGGAGGGGACAAGCCGCTGAGTGATTGGTCTGTTCCCGGAATCATCTTCCTCAGAGTCCATCCCACCTCCCTCCCCCAGGGTTCAAGGGCCCAGTGAGCACTCTGATAGGGGGTCCAGCATCCCTGGCCTGAGGGCGTAGGAGAGGAAGGCCAGGAGGTTAAAGAGTGGGCTTCAGGGGTCAAAGAGATTGGAGTTCAAATGCAAATGGCTTAACCTCTCTGAGTGCACTTTCCTTTTCTGTACAATGGAGCTGATGATGTCTGCTCTGACAAGTAGTTTATCCAGCACCCAGGGAAGCACCCAGGGAACGCTCATTCTGGTGAGTGATATTAGAGAGAAGAAAAGGTGGAAGTGCGAGAATCGAGAATCGGGCTCTACCTTTCCCCATGACGCGAGTGAACTGCCCGGGGAGGTCCCCCTCCGGCAGGGGGGCGACGGCCAGTTCCCCATCACAGCTGCTCAGCTGGTGGGGCTGGAGCCCACCGCTGGCCCCGGCTGAGGGGGTGGCCGTGGCCCCAGTGGCCCCGGCACTGTCTTTGCAGTCAGGGCCCTGGCCTTCCGGGCCCATCATCGAGGGCTGGTGCGGGGCCTGGGGCTCCCGGCGGCGAGCCTCGGGGGTGTCGCTCGGGGAGCTGTAGGCCTTGATGGGAGTCAGGATCATCTGGTGCAGCTCCTGGAGTGGGATGCGCAGGCTGCCCCCGTCGATGATGTCCTGCATGGTAAGAGGGAGAAGACCACCGTCAGGCTCGGGAATGGGGTCATCCACCCCCACGCCTGCCCCCTGGGCTCCAGCTGTTCCCAGGTAGGTTCATGGCTGCTGGTCCCTTCCTCAGAATGTTTCTTAGAAAAGAGACCACTTTGATTTTATCATTTTAACATTAGCCCAGGTAGAAAATCTGGAAATATACAGTGCCTGAAAATCCCACTGGCTAGAGATGACCACTAAAACAAATATGGTACATTCTTCTTCCCTGGATTCCTCAGTGCATTTCCTTAAAACACATTTATGTATTTTGCATTCACGTGCCTTAGGTGTTGTATAACAAGGTTGGGTCATATGGGGGCTTTGTGTCCTGTGCATGATTTGTTTTGGATGAAGGAACCTGTTCAGGTGCACCTCCACTCAGCCCATGACACAAGCAGCACAGGGCAGTGATCAAACACACAGACTCTGGCTCGGATGCTCAGGTTCAAATTCTGGCACTGCTGTGTGACTTTGAGCAAATGGCTTAACATCTCTGTGCCTCAGTTTCCTGTGTACAACATGAGGATAACAATAGTGGTTGCCTCACTGGGTGGTTGTGACGATGTCAATATTTGTAAAGCCACAGGTCAGTGTCTGTCACCGTGTTATGTGCTTCTTTGTGAAATTGCTAAGTATGTGTTGAAAGCGCCTACACTTCACACACCATGCCAGGCAGAGGGATGTGAGGCATGGGGATACAGCCACAATAGCCTTTAGGGTTACCTCAGGGAGTTTACATCCTACCATGGGATGTATATGTCATGCCAAGGGCTGCTGTGAGGGGATGACCTTGAAGGGGTGACACTGGAGCAGGAGGATCCTAGGAAAGAGCATCCCAGGCAGAGGGCACAGTGAGGGCAAAGGCTCTGAGGTGGGCATGTGTGAGGAACAGCGAGGAGTCCTATGGCAGAGCATGGTGGTTGAGGGCAGAGGGGTGGGATATGAGGCCCGAGGGGCCACCTGGGTCCAACCCTACAGGCCAGAGCAGAGATGCTGGAATTGATTCTAAACGAGATGGGAAACCAGAACAGGTTTTGAGCAGGGGAGTGACATGTTTTAGAAGGGTTATTCTGGGGCCGGCCCTGTGGTGCACTCGGGAGAGTACAGCACTGGGAGTGCAGCGACGCTCCCGCCGCGGGTTCGGATCTTATATAGGGATGGCCGGTGCACTCACTGGCTGAGCGTGGTGTGGGCGACACCAAGCCAAGGGTTGCGATCCCCTTACTGGTCACGAAAAAGACAAAAAAAAAAAAAAAAAAAGAAAAAGAAGGATCATTCTGGAAAGAATATTAATTGTAAGTAATATACACAGGTCTTTATATGTTGGAT